GATAGGCAAGAGTGAAAGTCCTAGGGGCTGGAAGTCTGAGAGCTGATAGGAAGGGTAGAGTGGATGGCTGAGGGCTTGGGACTATCAGTATTAGAGCATCTTAATGTTCCATATTGCTATTGGGTTTATTGTAGCCCTTATACGATTGAGACTAAAATGCTCCAAGAGGGAACTTTATAAGGAGCTTGGAAGATGTTTAAGATTGACAGGGCTTCCATGTAGTATGTGGCTGTGATGTAAAATCTAAAGATGGAAACAGATGTACCTTAAACTCTGGCAGTGTAAAATGGTCCAGATAAAGTCCAGGTTAAGTGGCAAAGTACTACAGGTTTACCAGTAAATATAAATGTACAAACAAGTTCTGCTTGTTTAAATAAATGAGCATTTATTTCACTTGCAAATAGAAATTAACTTGTTATAGCAATAACAGGTGATTGTTTTACATATACACAAAGCATTTTTGCAAGGTAATATTTTCAAATGAAACAAATTTTATGTCAGTGCTAAAGAGTCCTTAGAATACACTAAAAAGTGTTGGGTGAAAAACATTGTTTTAGACATTAATTTGGGAAACAGAATTTGTTGAAAATTAAACATGTTGGCTGCAAAAAACTAGTTTTATGACTAAAATATAAACTGTTTGAATCAAATATTTCTTTCATACACAGAGTAAGGCCCTTAGAATGTTTTCAAAAATTACATTTTTGCAGTAATGACGTTTCAATACTGAGCCAACAATGTGCAACTTGCAGTTTGGTGTTAATTTTAAGTGAAAGACTTTTTTCTAATGCTCTGAAAATGTGGATGTACAACGTGGAAAATACAAAATGCATGTACAATTTTGTCCAAGGAAAAAGATGAACAAAGAAATTGCCTGGAGTGGGATTTGAACCTGTAACCTCTGGAACACTGTACCAGTGCTCTACCAACTGAGCTATCCAGCCCTATGTTGGTGGTTCTTCCTATTTGTCAAAATCTCTGTTTGGGGGGCGAACATTTTAAAAGCGAGGTTCAAAACAGTCACTTGGTTAACTGAACAGTGCTGGTATTTTGGCTGCCTGAACGGAAACATCATTCAATTTTTAAAAGCCTGCAATAGTTACAAGCTTTTAGTCCTCAAATGAAGTAGTATCAAAGTGTCTAGAGTCAAAAACAGTGCTCTCAAATTACAGCGATATCATTCTAACTCATGAACAGTATCCTCACGTTACTTGGTTAAAACTCTATTTTTTTATACATCATTTCAGGGCCGTAAAGGACCTGGGCAAGGTGCTGACCAAAGTTTGCTTTTTCAGTGTCGTGAGACTTCCGTACTCTGTAGCAGAAGTTTTTGTTTTGATGCCAGAAAATAGCCAAATGAAATGATGCTCATTTTTTGCGAGGCGAATACCATTTGTTTAAATTATTAATCACTACATATGATCCTTTGATCTTTTGAGTAGCGTACAAATGCTGATTGACTTGCTCCTTTACTAAGGTGGAAGCAAGGAACTGCATCTCTGAGAAGATTGAGTCCTTTCCTTGCCTTTTTGTGAATCAATGCCTAAGATTCTGATGAGGATCCCTCATGCAATCTTGGAAACTGTTCCTTCTCAGTGATGGAGGATAGACTGGCATCTATCTGAGTTACTTCCTCTCCTTGACATTCTCATGAATTATCTCTGTGAATTCCCATAGTATCTTGTCCTCCATCTTCCGTCTCTCCAGGTTGAAGGAGGGGAGGGCGCTCTTCTCATCAGCATCATGGTCTGCTTCTCCTGGGGCATACCCACAGCCTTCATATGAGGAGGCCTGGGGAAGAAATTAATCACGAAAGCAACTAAGTTGCAGCAGAAATTGAGCCATTTCTTCCAAAAATATAGGATCCTTGTACGCTCCTTGTTTTTACACTTTTTAAAATAAAAAACTATTAGTGTCTATTGCTTTTCTTCCATTTTCATGTCAGAAAATGAACTATGACAAGAGGATTCCTTGGGCACTGCTGGCCCATTACTTCTGAAAGCATTTGTGATTTGAACTCTTTGTTAAATATATTTTCCAGACACCCCTTTAGGGTTTAGTGAATCAAAAAGTGACTTTTTAAACACTTAAAACTCTTTCCTTTTTCCTAACAAGTGAGGGCGCTGTTTTACAGCAATACTGTAACGTCAATCAGGGAAGACCACAAACCTAAAATATCTATGGACCAACAGCTCTTATAGAAATCAATGATTTCAAAAGTGTGGGCAGAAAAATTTCAACAGTCTGCACAAGTCTGTTGAGTTGGACACAAACGGAAATTTTAGATGGTGAATGAAAATATTGTTAAGTGTTTACAACATGGCCCCTTTTTGTGTTTGGGTTCAATATTTGTCAAAATCAAGGTAGATCGTTCTTTAAATAAGAGCTTTTAACACTTAAATTTTTGTATATATTCATTGCTCACCTTCAAAAAGCCTGAAAAAATCCCCATAATGTATGTGATTATAATTTTCAGACTTTATTTTTGAAATGTTTTGGAAACACAGTTCTCAGTGCTCTATCAAATAAAACTTGAGAAAATATGTAAAATTTGCTTCTCAAAATATTCCCTAAACAAGGATGTCGGGAATTTATCTGAATTTCACATAATATGCACCTTGGCTTCTACTAATGGCTTGTCATAATGCGCAATATTATGAGGAAGAAAAATTGAACTGTACCGAGTTAGAAATGCAATAAACAGACCAACAGGGCCAAATAATGTTTGATGGACAATTGCCATAGTTGCCCCCCTCCTGATCCATCTTCTTTGATGTAGAGCAGTGCTGCAGAGCAAATCATAAAACCCCAAGGGACAAGGCAGCCATTTCTTCATGGTCATTAAGAATGGAGACTTCACTTAAATTATGCTCTTGCTGTTGTCGGTCTGAAGGTATTTTATGTATATGATTAGATGCTTCATTTCATGAGTTTTACTATTAAAACTATGAAACCTTAACTGCTCCTTGAACATGTTCAACATGTCTCAGAAAATGTGGACCTTTTATATAACAGGTTTTGCCCTTACCCAACGTATAT